AACCTATCAAAAACCATCAAAGATATAAAATATAATTTCTTTCTACAGAAGCACATTTATATTTCCACAGTTTATCTATTTCCAATTTAGGTTTAGCTATATACAAACATTATCTTACAAAAACTTTTATAGGATTTAATTGTTTAGGACTTAAAGGTAACTATTAGGAAAGGTTTTATATTATATTGTTTTGAAAGGGAATTTAGTATTGCTTAGTTTAAGAAATTACATGCATAACCTCCCAAGTGACTTTGATTTTCCTAAAATAACTGCAAGCATTTCTTATTCAATCAACCAATCAATATATATTTATTGACCTGCTCTATTTACCAAGACTATTAGGTGCTAGCTATTCTATGTTATTTGACCTTGAATTATTGCTTTACTGGGGCAGCTGATATATAATAATGGCAACATATCTTGTTTCATTTTTATTTACTTATAGTTATCTCTTAGTTTTTCTGTTTGGCCAATATTATTTTTCATACAATTTATAATTTAAAATTTATAACTTTAGGAGTTGTAGTCTTCCTCATTTACTATTACTCCTATGCTCTTTCCATAAGGCATTTTCCCCTTTGCATTCTGCTTTTTCTCCCTAATATCTTCTGAACACTTAATTTGTGCTTTATTTATAGATATCTGGTCCTTGATTTTTTCTTGATTTTTAAGAAAATAATATCTTCCTTAAAAAATGTTAAAGACAGAGTCAAATCTTTTTTTAATCATGTCTTCATCACACGATAATTCTGATCTCCCTAAATTATAAAATTTGCTATACCATGCTTGCTATGGTAGGAGGTAAATCATTATGTTTCCAGATCTCTCCTTGACTGGAAAATCTTAATGCTTTCACCATTTTTCTATTTATTCCTGATGTTACAATGATTTCTTTTTAAATTTCAGAGGGGAATTTCTACTTTGTACAGTGCCACATTCTGCATCCTGTAGACTGACTTCTGGTAATCAGGCCTTTGTTTCTCTCTTGTAGGCACATATTTTGTTGTTCTTGTTGTTTTCAATTTCTTCTGCAGAACAAAAGTCTACATCAGACTTTTATATGCTGATTAGAATTCACTTTAAATGTCACTATACAGATAAATCAATATGTGAAGGTGAAAATGACTTGAAGAGCTTTGTCAAGATAAGTGTTCTTTATCAGACGTCATGAGAGTTTTGAAACCAGAGGATCCTTAGGGCTAAGTTCAATGACTTCATGCACTGCAGATGAGGAAATTGAGCCCAGGGAAAAAAGACTTGGGACTACAGGCACTTGCCACCATGCTCAGCTAATTTTTGTATTTTTAGTGAAGACAGGATTTCAACATGTTGGCCAGGATGATCTCCATCTCTTGACCTTGGGATCCACCCAACTCAGCCTCCCAAACTGCTGGGATTACAGACGTGAGCCACCATGCTCAGCCTAAATCTTGCTTTAATAGTTGTTTGTTTTTATTTTATTTCCCCAGAAATATCTGGATATGGTGGGTTTTATCTTCTCTTTAGAGAGTTCCGTCATTCTTTCCTTCTGGTTCAGTGGGCTAGCTTGAGTTCTCTTGACCATGCATCAGCATAAATCACGTTCTATTTTTTTTTCTAGTTTTACTCCTATGCTACAGTATAAAATCAAGATAAGATAAAGGGAAGCTACTGTAGCTACTGGACTATCCTCTATGAACTTGTATAAAAATATCCCTTTCCAGATAAATATATCTCTGCTTTCCCTCAAACAATAATTGGAGCCACAAATAAGATGGTTTAGATATTTGCAACACCCACATGACCTAGCATATTGTGCTAAATGCATTTCTGCTGAATTTTTACTTTAGCCATTCATTAAGCCAAGTCATCATTAACACCTGCATGATTAAAGAAAAGCACAAACTCAAAAATAGCAAAAACTATCCCATAGCAGTATGGTGCTGATGCCTTATAATAGTTTTTTGTTTGTTTGTTTGCTTTTGAGGTATCCTTTCCTTTTCTTTTCCTACCTCTCTACCCCAGTAACTGGGATTACAGGCACTGACCACCACACTCAGCTAATTTTTTGTATTTTTGGAAGAAACAGGGTTTCACCATGTTGGCCAGGATGGTTTCAATCTCCTGACCTCATGATCTGCCAGCCTCTGCCTCACAAAGTGCTGGGATTACAGGTGTGAGACACGGCGCCCAGCCAACTAGTTATACTTTCAAAGTTAAGTTTAACTTTTTTGTTGTGCTTAGCCTAATGGTATCATCATTGTGTGTCTTTTGCAAATGAACCTGAGAATGATGAAGTCGTCCTTCTATAAAGGCACTCTTGCTGTTGAATGTACTTTGAGGTTTGATGCAGAAACCACCTTTATGACCATAATTGTTACTAACCTATTCATTAAAGGATCAATGATCCGTAAGCTTCACACTTGTCCAGAAACAGTTAATAATTAAACATTTAAGGAAATTGAAAGAACTAAACAAAACTAATAGAGAGTTCAGAAACATGCTGTGAACCAATGTTTTAGAAATAATTCACTGTGTAAAATTAGATTAGTTTAACTATAAAATTAAAAGGTGATATTTTCACTTAACAATAAAACTCCCAATCAAATGCCATGAGAAGATGCATCTTATACTGGTACTTGATATACATTTTAGGTAATTTTTTGATCCTTTATTCATTAACTTGGATATTAACAAAATTCAATTTCCTATAACAGTAATTCCTCAAATTTTTAAAATCAGTTTTAAACAGAGGTGTAGAAATGAAAGACAGCCAGAGTTCTAAGTATTTGATTGGCTGTGATTGATAAGTGAATAAAATAGATAAGGCTGGAAAATTCCACAATGGACTAGCAATGCCTAGTAGCTCATCAATGAATCAAATTCAATACGTTGATCTGATCATGCCCAATTCCCCTGTTACCTACTACAACTTTTCAATGCATAAATAATACAGTTATAATGATATTCTTGCTCAACTTCTGAGAAGGCACAGGCCACAAAATTTGTATGACTTTCAACAGCCAAGAAATAGAGTTCATGTATTACGAGGCTGGCCTGAATCCTCATTGCTGTGATATAAGGGATAGTACCAACTCCAAGAATTCATAGAACGTGGATAGATACACGGGGAACCAAACCAAGAGTGAATAAGTTAAATGATTAGTTCATTCAAGGAGCACTCATCAATTGCCTACCAGGCATGTGTCAGTTAAATACAGCTCAGGAAGCACTAGCTTGTTTCTTAAGTTCATCAAAGAAAACATTTATCCTATTGGAGAATAAGGATCTTCCCTGTATGAAGGACTGACTCTGGGTTAAAGTTAATAATAAATCAGCAAATTTTATTACAATAGTTTGCTTATAGAATGATTTGTTTACTTTTTTCAATTTTCCAAATTTTCAATAATGTTTATATGACATTCATAACTTTAAAACTCCTGTATGATTAAGCTGAAATAAGAAAATCTACAAAACAAAACAAAAATGAAACCAGCAGATATACAAATTTTAAAAATTAAACTCATGTCTAGTCAAGTCTTTTGTCTATTTGTATCAGATTGTTTGACATTTTGTTGTTGAGTTGTAGGAGCTCTTTACATATTCTGGATATTAATCATATCAGAGATCTAACATTGTCAAATTCATAGAGGCAGAAAGTAGAATGGTAATTACCAAGTGCAAGATGGGAGAGGAAAAGGGGGAGTTTGATAGATAAAGTTTCAGGTTTACAAGATGAAGAAATTCTGAAGATCTATTTCACAACAATGTGAATGTATGTTAACATGACTGAATTGTACACTAAAAATTGTAAAAATGGCCGGGTGTGGTGGCTCACGCCTATAATCCCAGCACTTTGGGAGGCCGAGGCGGGTGGATCACGAGGTCAAGAGATCGAGACCATCCTGGTCAACATGGTGAAACCCCGTCTCTACTAAAAATACAAAAAATTAGCTGGGCACAGTGGTGCGTGCCTGTAATCCCAGCTACTCAGGAGGCTGAGGCAGGAGAATTGCCTGAACCCAGGGGGCGGAGGTTGCAGTGAGCCGAAATGGCGCCATTGCACTCCAGCCTGGGTAACAAGAGCGAAACTCCATCTCAAAAAAAAAAAAAAAAAAAAAGAAAAGAAAAAAAAATTGTAAAAATGTGTCTTATGCCACAATTTTTAAAAATACATGAAAATAAAACACTTGTGACAGAATAATAAATCAGGCTGTGTTTAAAAAGAAACTAGAATCAAGCAAACAAATCAGAAAATGGTAATTTTTCCCTGAATTAAAGTTCACTACTACCAGATGTGTTCTTCCTAAACTATTGGTAAGAATAAGACCTACCTGAAATGCATAAGGCTAACATTTCAGTTTCAGCAACAGTAACAACAATTCTAATGTCATAATAAGGTAGGTTTAACTAGTTAATGATTTTTTTAAAAATTGAGTTTTTCTTTGTTAATGTATAGAAATCATCTGAATGCATAATAAGCAATCAAGGGTTCATTAATTTTTATTTGCCCTAATTTGGTCATACTGTTGCTAGCATAATGTTTAGGACTAATTTTTAAACCTTAATGAACTATTTTTTATTTTCTCTCTCTCTGTCTTCCTTTTGAGACCAGGTCTTGCCCGTTGCCCAGGCTGGAGTGCACAGGCTGGGTCAGAGCTCACTGCAGCCTTTTACTCACAGCTTCAAGTAATTCTCCGGCCTGGGCCTCCCAAATCCTGGTGTTTCCTTTACTAACTTAAAAATGTTATTGTAGTCTTGGTCTTTGCAAACCGTTTTAAAACCGCCAACTTCAGCTTGTCTGATTTTGAAATGCGTGGCCTGAGAAAACTCCTAGGCCTCGAATATTACAAACGGGTACCACGCTCATTTTAAGGGAGCCCTGGCTTAGGCAAACCTGCCGCTGAACTTAGCCGGACTTATAACAAGCACTTTACTGATCTATTACAATCCATGCATTAAAACAAACACACACCACCTCCTGTCTGTAAAGCAAAACACATTCTGACTGTTTGCGACAGCCTTCTAACCCATGGATGTGTCCCTCAGGACTGGGTTTCTAGAAAATCTAGGAGAGGACCCCAGGGCAGGGGAGAGGAGAGGGCGAACTGGGAAGGAACTGCGAGGGTAATCACTTTCCTGACGGCGTGAGGTGGCACCTGAGCCCTGGGACGCGGGGCTGGGAGGGAGGGCTAGTCGCCCGCGGAGGCGAGGCCAGAAAGTCAGAGGAAAGAGGGGACGAGAGAGCCACAAAGGCAGAGCGGAAGAAGGCAGGGCGGGCGGCGGGCGCGAGGGAGAGAAGAGGGAGGCGGAGCTGCCCTGCTGGCGGGCGGGGGCGCCGGCGGGAGCTGGTGCGGAGGCGGCGCCGCAGCCCCAGCCTGGCCCGACGCGCGAGGGCCGGGGCCAGGGTGAGCGCCCGACTCCGAGCTGCCCCCGCGCTCGGCGCCGCGCTCCGCTGTCAGCCACCTCACGGCTGCAGGAGTGCGCGGGAGTTTGCCCCGGAGAGCGGCGAAGTTTCCTTCAAAGCTGCGCTCCTGGAACAGCAGCACCTGCAGGCGCCGGGCAGCGGCCGGTGAGGTAACCGGGCTGGGGCTGGGGCTGGGGCTGGGGCTGGGGCTAGGGCTGGGGCTGGGGCTGGGGGGCTCTAGACTGGGCGCTGCTGGGTACCCGCGCCGGGAGCGGGCTCTGAGGGGCGGGGACGTGCGCCCTCACCTTTCCAGGTGCTTCGCTGCTGGGGATGCGGAAGGCATCTTCCTTTTCCCATCTCCCCCTCCTCCAGTATTCCAGCCCACTTCCCTTCACTTCAGCGGACGGAGGACCGGAGGTGGAGGGCAGGAGCGGGAGGGGATCCTGACTTTGAGGGGGCGCTAGAGGAGGACGGGCGCCTGAACTTGTCAGCTACCTCAGCTGCATTCCTGCGCCCCGGCGGGGCACCCTGGACTCCAGGATTCCAGGGCCAGACCCGGCTTGGGGCAGGCAGAGGTGGGAAAGAGGACGGCAGGAAGAGCAGTCTGCCGTGTGTGGCAGAAAGACGAGCATCTCTGCTGCGGGGGTGCCTCCTTTGCGTCAGTCCCAAACTCCGCGACCTGGCTCGGGCTCAGGCGCAGGCTGCGGGCGAGGTGGGAGGGAAGTTAGGTGCGATCCTGGCCGGAGCAGAGGGGTTGGGAGGGGTGATCAGAGAAGGGTCTTTTTTGCCCGTGGGCTGGGGAGAGAAGGAATGGTGTGTTTATTTCTGCTGCTGTTACTTTCACACGGTTACCTGCCCCCTCTTCTGCCCCGTTTGAACATCCTGCCTATCAGCATGTTTCTGTTAGAAGGTGTTCTGGTTGATGCCTGTCAGGAGTTATTTCCAACTAAGTTCACAGGTGCCAAGTCTAGAGCTGCAGGCCCTCCTCCTTTCTCTCTCTGCGGTCCACCCCCAGCTCCCTCCCACAAACAAACTGTGCCTGCATAATTCCCAGGGTTTTGAAAGCAATGGCAAGTGAATAATATACAGTGTGTATGTGACTTTTTCCCCCATCATGCTCTTAGATCCAAATCAAAACGCCGTGGATGCCTGATAGGACTCCCTTTTCTCCGTTTTTCTGATAAATGAGAGTATTACCAATGTTTTTCTCCGCTTTAACCTCATTATTTCATTAATCTATCTTGCACAATTTTATTTACACTGTTATTATTCCTCTCGGTTTGAAGGACATGGGCTTCTTTTCAACTCATATATACACACCCAATTACAGTGTGACCATATTTAATATTTATCTGCCTTCTGATTCAGTTGCCTGGTACCTGCTAATTCTAGTACATAATCATAACACCATACGCCTGCCAACCCACTTGAGGAGAAGGTGAATGCTATTGTTTTTCATGGGCAAGAGTACCCGAAACTACCACTTTTTATTATTGCTCAAAGGGTATAAGAGCTTCAGTCAAAGTGAATCAAATTTACAAAACAATATTGCAGTTCTACACCAGACAATCAAACAATATGATTCCTAGGCACTTACAATGGACTAGTAATTGAGGAAAAATTAAAATCCTCTCATCACATGGAAAACGTTTAGATTGTGTATAGTCAATAAGAAATAGCACACACTGAATACCTCCAGAAAACAAGATGAATGTTCCTCTTCCCTCATTTGGCTTTTATCTCCTTCATTGCAGTACCGTCCTCCAGAAAATGAGCACCTTGCATATAGATGTTGGTGTGTACCAACTAAACACCATATTTTTTTTAATACAGAGGCTTGGTGATAGTCCAAAAACATAAATGTTTTAAATCATTACCAACCATCTGTTCTCTCCCACTCACTAACAGCACAGTGTTTTATTTTCACAGGTATCAAAACGTACTTACTCATTCCATACATTCCCATGACCATCCTGAAAGCTGTAATGGTATCTGATGTTGACCCAAGTTCAGTAACTGTTGTATTTGGCTTATTACACCATAAGCTCTGCTTCTTTTATTTTCAATGAAAGGAGACATTTTAAAAGTTTCAAAGCATTTGGCCAAGGCTGGCTTATACTCCAGTAAAAATCTGATTGCTTTTTTCCCACCATGTTTTTGTTACCAGAAACTGAAAATTAGTACAGCTTCAGGGTCCTCCTGATGACCTTCTTTTCCTTTCTTCCTGGTCACAAGGATATATTTGATGCTCTGAAGCAGTGCATTAAACAGCCCTGTGACTTCAGAAAGTTAGTGTGGTTTCCAGGAGAGTGTAACATCTTCCAAGAAAGAATTTACAAAATAGGAGACTAACTTAATATTCCAAACTCCAAATTTGGTAGAACTAAGAAATACACATAGTTGCCCACATAAATATTGGATATGAATGGCAAAGGATGTGAGATAGGATATGAATAACATATTTACTTCTATAGTGTTCTTTGTATTTGCATTTGGGAATCTGGATGAGTTGGTATGTAATCAGCAGATTCACATCATTGGTTTTGTCGGTGTCATCGATAAAGCAAAATTTGAGATATTCAGTTCCCCTATCCAAGAAAAGTTTCCCATTTAGGGGTGTTTGCTCTAATTAAAACTTCAGTGTTAGAGTATTTTTTATCATTCAAATCTCAGTTACATAATAAATAGTTTGTTCCTTTAGCATAGACAGCAGATTAGGAAAATTCTCTTCACTCAAATATAGGCTCAATGTCCCAAAGCATTTTCATATTTTTTGAGGAAAAAGATAATGATGATCTTTTTCATACTTCGTGAATAATTGATATGCACTTGAAGGTTATCAGGAACCAAGAACAAGTGGGGAATTATCACCAGCTATACTGTTCTCTACTGTTCTTTGACCTGAAAGTGTTAAGATTCTCATAATTTAGAAGGAGGCATTGGACAGAATAAACCCAAACTATAGATAATTTTGAAAGTAAAGTTGCCTTTAAAAATATAGTCTAATTAAAGCCTTTGGATATTACATAAGAACATGTTACATCTTGTTTTTCTGTATACTAAAAATGAATTATTTAGGGGAAACAGTTTCACCATGTATAGTAAGTACTCTGAATTATTCATGTTAATGAGAGAAACAGAGTCAAAGATAATGTAAAATCATGGTTATTTAAAAAGTCATCTGTGTTTGTCTTTGGAATGTATTGCATGTTTAGTTTGAAAAAGATTTTCATTGTTATTGTGGGCAAGTTGCCTTTCTAATTATTTTGTTGTGTTTAGTTTAATTTTTAAATGAGCTTTCATACCTCAAACACCAAAACCCATTTGTGGGGAGGTAGGGAAGATGGACAGCCTTCCCAGAAACAAGCTGGGTGGCAGAAGTAAGCAACCCTGGTATGAAACTTTGCAGGAGATTATATGTAATTCACAGAAAGATAATCAAAACTTGATTGTATACCAGTTTAATGAATGTATGTTAAGGACTAGATATGTTCCCAGCAAATATAAAAGTCTTAGAGTCAAAGTTTGAGAAATTCAGTCCCATTTTACATGTAAAAGAGGTGGTTAATGTATTTTAAAAAGTGATAATGGGGTGCTCCTGAAAACCAAATAAGAATGTATTAATGTGTGCATCTTACTATGAATACACTGCATTTTTAAGTGTTTTCCTAAAGCATACATATGTGTTTGGTGTTAAATGACATTCCTAGGGTTTATATATGAATATGTCCTTTCCAAGAGAAGGAATAGCAAGAAGCCCTCTAAATAAGGGGTTTGGTCCATTTGACCTCTGTACCTATACTCAAAATCAAAAACACATTTCATCAAAGAGAAGCTCTCAATTATTGTTACAGTGGACCAGGTTAGATAAAATAGTTGAAGTTCAACAAGACTGCCAATTTAACCGATTTCTATTGTGTTTTTCAAAAGCACTAGGGCAAAACTGGTTGTGGATGAGCTACTTGTGCAAGAAGCCGACTCATAACATAGCATTAAACATCTTGTTTATAGTCAGTGTTTAGTTGCACATAGATTTTGTTGAATTGTTAGTTCTGTGGACTATTTGAATTTAGAAAATCTCTGTGTGGAAGGTTAGAACTGCCAAAAATGTATGATGGGAAAATAAGATAAGATCATTTTTATTTCAAAAATTCACAGCAAAACTGTAACTTTTATAGAAGTAAGGAGAATGGTGATAGAAAAGTAGATGTACCCTTCTGAATAGAGACTATGTGATCATCATAAATGTGCTCACTGCATAAAGTGTAGGGATGCTTTTTTTTGAGGAAACATTTTCATTTTTTATAAGGCATGGCATTTTTTAAAGATGACTAGACTGAATATTTTAAAAGAAATATTGTGGTTGGAAATATAATTGAGACCCACAGGATAAATTTTATATACCTTTATTAAAGGAATCCATTTCTTCTTATCAGTCCCTAAGTCTTAGGATCAAGATTATGCATTTTTTAATAGAGCTGGAAAGAAGCTTAAAAGTAATTTATTCCCGTGTCCTCATTTTACAGTTATAGAAATAATGGGGACCTACAGTGATCATGATGAACTGCTAAAGGTCACAGTGGTAGTGGCAGAGCAGAAACTAGAAAGCTGGACTTCCAACTCCTCATCCAGCTACCTCATAGAAAGTTAGATTAGTTAGATCGGAGAGTTAACTCTTTCTGGCCATCATGGGATCAACTAATACATGATATGAAATAAAGCAGTGCAGAGGTAAATGTGGAAGACTTGTGACTTGCTGTCTTCTCTCATGCATTGAGTAATCATCATGAACCAGACCGTGATCCTTGACTCTCTTGGACTTTGTCCTCTTGTTAAAAAACATACTTTGTTACCCCTTTATTATCCTCAAAAGGCATTTATAAATAATTACAGAATATAGTTTTAATTTTTAAAAGCTATAAAATAAAAGTAATGTGTAATAAATTGTGTATTTAACTACTGATGCTTGGGGATAACATCACTAGACACATAGTAAAATCAGCGCTTGCATGAATATATGATGAATAAATTTGAATTTAAGACAAATAAAACATCAGAAGACATACTATGCAAGAAGTACATGAAAGTGAAAGAATGAGGATAGACTTAAACTAGTGTTGAGATACAACCCAGACTTATTTGTATATGACAACAGAAAGAAGGAAGTAAT